TTCCGATCTCCCCAAAACCCCAAAACCCCTTTCTCTAAAATTTGCTTAATCTGAGAATTGATTAAATATTCGTTTGTTGATTACTATTATAATATTATATTATTGAAAGCATCATCAATGAATTAAGAGCAATCGTAGCAATACTATGATGAATACTAATCTTCGCCGTGCGGAGTAAGTGAGGGATCAGAAAATAACAATAATGATGAATAAAATCGGTCAGATAACAATGGTGATTAGTCATAGCCATAGAAAGATTGCAGAATATGCTTTGGATCAAGAGGACCATTAATCGAACCTTGTGACTGTAAGGGCAGCATGGCATACGTACATACATAATGTCTTCAAAAATGGCTGTAAAGTAAAAATACAATGCAATGTGAGCTCTGCCATTTTCAAATAAAATCACAATTGACACTTAGATCTTTTGGAAAGATTGCCTTTGACCTATGGAGAGCACTGAAGAAAAAATTCTCAAAAGACCAATTTTTTCTAATTAAAATACTTCTTTACTCTGCTTATATCTATATTAGTGCTAAAAAAGCAGTTAGCTGCTTCAGATTACTAGCATAATAACTCAGAAAAAGATATGAAAGTCTAAGCTTCAATATATTGTCAATTATGTATTTGATATTCGTTCTAGTACAGTTATTTATGCTTTATACAAGCGAGATATCTTAGATATATAGGAAACTTAAAATGAAGATGAGACTGATTTGCTATGAAATGGCCTTTCAAAACAAATGAGAGACAATTTATTTGTGAAATTGATAAATTCACAATAATTTTATCCTAATATACTGAGTGTTATTCATATTATTAACTTGAAACTTATATATAAAGTTGTAATTTTCATATTAATAGTTTTAGAAATCTAATTATCATATATTTTTGTATTTGAAAATCAATTAAGAAGTAAGATGCCAGACATAGTTGGATTTATTGAAGTTCCAAGAAAGCATTTTACATTCAATCAGCAATTACCATTGAAAACTCTCTCTTAACAATAGATTTTTCAGGTTCTTCTACAATTGAGCTCTGCCTTTTTGCAAGACCATGTCCTGTAGATTTACCTACTGGAGGCGGAGGGAGTATTTCTGGTCTATACTCATCTTTCAGCAGTTTTTATTTCATTTTGAGTTTATTCAGCCTACTTCTTGTGCCCATTTATGATTAAACAGTTGATCTATCTAAGAAGTTAATCTAAGTAGAAATAATGCTCTGGAAAGTATTATCATTCTGTGAAAGTCTTTTTCTGTTATAAGTTGATGGATCTCCAGCAGCACTTTCATTAGGCCTTCTAGCATTCTATCTCATACTTAATTGAGATTAAATGCTAAGTTGTCTGGTTTCAAGATCTTATGGCTTGCTGATGACTTTATCAGGTTTCAACCTACTAGAACTATTTCTAGCAGAAAACCTATTTCTTTAAGAGAAAAATGGGTCTTTTGGAGTCGACCTCATTGATAAATCATTCTGTTAAGTTACAAGCATTGAATTAATAAGGTTGTTATTCAATGTACCATTGTAGCTAGGAGTGTTTAGTTTGCTATTGTAATAATTTTGCCCAGTGCTGTTATTGATGCTTCTATCGATTACTTCCTCTTTTGCATTTGACGCCAAAACCTTTATTCTTTACTAAAGAGCCGCAGTTCTATTAACTTTTCTTCTTGAGCCAATTGTTAATCTAGGATCACTTGATTAATTCCTCAGATTTTCACTCAGAATATCACTTTTATTCTAGTTTAGGATTTTACTCTCTTTTAACTCGGCATTTTCAGTTTTCCTAAGTTTAAATCTATGCTAGATGTCAAAGTTATCATACTTTTCCTTATAGTCTTTTCTTGACATTTTATTATATTAAACCATTTTCGATTTGTAATCGGGGCCAATCATGGTATGGTCAGGACCATCTTAAATGGATACACCATAAGTAGGCCTCACACTGTCTCTAACATTCATTATATCTTTAGTTACTTCAATCTTTTAGTTTTCTTTGGCAAACATTGAGTTCAATTGGTTATTGAACTCTTTTTAAAGGTGTTCTGTGTGAGGATTAAGGATTTATGCTTTCGATTTTTGCTTTCTGTTAAATTCACTTTGATATACTTACTGCTGCCCATTTAGCTTAACTCGAGTTTAATTGAATTAGATGCTAGGCAAGTAGTCAGTTTTAACAGACTTTACTTCGATCAAGTTGCCATCATGATCGTAAGTATGATCCTTTTTTAGTATTTCCTCTTGCTATTGACCAAACATTGGCAATCCAGCTCCTCTCTTTTTCTTCTCTGGAACTACTGTGCTTTTATTTACTTTTGAATCGACTCTTGCTCTTAAAAAGTCAATAATATCTTCATTGAAGCCATCTAAATTTTTAAACTCCTTAATATCAAGTGCCTTCATCTATGGCTTTTAGGCCTCTTTATTCTAGGCGAGTTTATTGGCATTTTATTGTTTCTATATTTAATTTACATCTTGATAGAGATTACTTACCATTTTCCTGTCAATTTTACCTAATGATTCGTTATCAGCAATTGTTGACCTTGATCTACGGCTATATTGTCGTTTAAGATCTCTTTCTGGACTTATTATTTTGTTAGACTAACTCTAGTCGATAATGATTAGTTTCTCGCATTTTTAATTCTATGCAAAACTATCCTGTGGAATCGGGATTGGCTCAAAGTCAGGTTCAAGTTGAAATACATAATCATCCTCTTTCGGATCAGGCATTGTAACCTCAAGTATTGAAACGATATAAGCTAAAGACAGTGTGTTTTTAATTGCATATGGTCTCTTTTATTTATCTAGTTCTTTCAATTGCAATTCATTATCTACCTTCTTAAACAATTGATTCAATACACTTTAGCATATATAGAAGGAATCTTTACTAAAGGTGGAAGCAGACTATTCTCTTTATGAACTCAGCTACTGTGGAACTGCGGAAGGCTTTGACTTCTTTTGCATTTCTTAATTTTTAAATTGTATATTTTATTTCTAAACTGAATTACTAAGATAATTGAATAATACATTCTTGGGGTTTTGGGGTTTTGGGGTTTTGGGGTTTGGGGG